GGTCCCAAGCAAACGATTAACGTACACCATTCTAGTCGAAATTCTAGTACTACACAGTGTTTGTTTTGATTCGCTATGAAAGTTTGACAGATAAAATGAGGGGTTAGTGGATTTTCCTATGTTTCGAGGGGTAAATCGATTAGCTTGGGACCGAAGAGAGTACCAGAGCTGAGCCAAAAAATTAGGCACGTTTCATCGGGACCTTCTAGTCTTAGAGTTACCTCTATGCTTATACTAAACCCGCTCTAGTTACTCCCGGCCATGTAGATCAGTACTTACGCAACCAACGATCACTATTTTCCGGAATCCCAGTCAATAGCAGGAAGAGTTTAGTAGCCTTCAAAAAATTGAAACGGGATTTCTTGTACGTGATCTGTTGGCTTAAACAACACTCGCTGGACAAAAGGTGCTATCTGATTTGATCTATTCTCTTCATGGACTTTCTCTTTTGAAAACCACTGCTATGCAAATGGAAATGGATCTAGAAATGGAACTGGAAATAGAACTGGAAATGGAACTGGAAATGGAACTGGAAATGGAACTGGAAATGGAACTGGAAATGGAACTGGAAATGGAACTGGAAATGGAACTAGAAATGGAACTGGCAATGGAACTGGAAATAGAACTGGAAATGGGACTGTAAATGGAACTAGAAATGGAACTGGAAATGGAACTGGAAATGGAACTGGAAATGGAACTGGAAATGGAACTGGAAATGGAACTGGAAATGGAACTGGAAATGGAACTGGAAATGGAACTGGAAATGGAACTGGAAATGGAACTGGAAATGGAACTAGAAATGGAACTAGAAATGGAACTGGCAATGGAACTGGAAATAGAACTGGAAATGGGACTGTAAATGGAACTAGAAATGGAACTGGAAATGGAACTGGAAATGGAACTGGAAATGGAACTGGAAATGGAACTGGAAATGGAACTGGAAATGGAACTGGAAATGGAACTGGAAATGGAACTGGAAATGGAACTGGAAATGGAACTGGAAATGGAACTGGAAATGGAGCTGGATACCCGAGCAAAGTAAAATAACAACCTGATCATCTAGATAGGAAATCTTGTTATTCCAGATCTCGTTCCAGAAATCAATTTCATTTCAGTTATTATCATATTACTAATTTAAGGCCAACAATTGAAAAGGCCTCAACTCCATCTTGTTAAAAAACTTTGTAATGCAATTTTATCACGAACCGAAGTCTGACAAAATGAACAGGTAGGGGAAATTCTCATCCACTCGATTGTAGGCCTTTTCAATTGTTGGTCTTGAATTTAGCTATCAACCCTGACTAATTTTGTTGTCATGATATAAAGTACTACGCGAGCAGAGAATGAAAACAAAATTAAATCAGAATTTGATATTTTAGTATAAGCGTTCTTGGTCGAGTTACCAGCAATAATAACAATGAGATCTAAATGGCATATGAAGAATATTTAGAAGATGAAAAATCTAGTTTTCTTTAAAACAAATCAATGTACGCGTTTTGATGTTGGTATTGTCGTTAATAGTAAACTACATATCCATTAAATTTAAATCTAAAAAATTTTGATATTACAGCAATATGCACTAGCAATTTGCGCCTAATTTCATATATTCTGTGGAACATGATAGTGCTACCAACAATCAATACGAAACTAACGATTTTAAATTGGCTCACCACTTTAGTAGCCTATTGGTCCCAAGCAAACGATTAACGTACCCTATTCTAGTTGAAATTCTATTACTACACTATGTTTATTTTGATTCGCTATGAAAGTTTGACAGATAACATCAGGGGTGTGTGGATTCATGCAGAACATGCAGGGGTGAGTGAAATAGCTTGGGACTGCTTGGGACCGTTGTTCTGGTACTGAGTGAGCCAAAAATAATAATGATTTTCTTCGGGACCCAGTGGTCTTAGAGTTACCTCTATGGTGCTACTAAATCAAATTTGTAAATCAAATACTTATATCGACAAAAAATTCCATTGATGTGTTTCAATGGAAAATTAATCTAAACATTCGGCAACACTGTAATCAATTTATTCTTGAATTCATGTTATCTCACTTTAAAAACATTTGCAACAGTAAGCGAGAAAAATGGATTCTTTTACTAAGATGATCGGCCGAAAATATAGTTGAAAGGAGGGGCCGTCAACTTGAGTATTTTCGATTCATCTACCCGATTGATTGATTGATTGATTTATCTTTATTAAGGAGGCATTCAGCCTGAGGCTGGTTCGCCTCCAGACTTCATCTACCCGACTTGAAAAGGTGCATTTTGTATTTTTTCGTATTTATGTATTTTTAAGTTTTGTGTATTTTAAATTAATTTTGAAATGTATTTTTCGTGTACAAAGTATTTTCGAGGTATTTTAGAGTATTTTTATTAGGGTATTTTAGTTTTAGTGTGTACGCATTTGCGTATTTTTTGTGTATTTTCCGAAGTGTGTATTTACAATTCAGCTGATTTATTAAGTTGATCGCCGCTCGATTTGAAAAGAAAAGTGTTTCTCATAATTTTTGACATTTTTTTGCTATTTAAAAAAAAATAATGCAAATGACTAAGTGTTTCTATGTGAAAAAGGATGAACTATACTCATTCAGAAAAATTCAAGTTTTTAGTTTTTAAACGCGAGTATAAAAGATTTGGCAACACTGTACAAATATCATGAATTCATTTTAAGATTCTTTGCAAGGGGTAATCAACTCGGCACACTGTGCCGAAACACAGCATGGCACACTGTTCGGCGCGTTAGGGCATACGTTGACAAGTAGAATACAAAAAATAGTATAAAATGGCATCACTGTCAAGCGTTGACGTTTTGGTAATCGTTACTAAGAATGAATCCTTTGTCTACTCCAATAAGTTCGTGGATTGTGACATGTCACATTTCGAAAATCTGTAAGTGTTTTCTGCATCATGAATCAAATCAAACTAACAAGGCCATATAATTTGATTCGCAGTGAAAATTCAGCCTAACGTACTTCAGCTTAATGACCCAACACCGAATAATCAATAAAGACGAAACGGTTATCACAGGGGTTTTCGACCAGGTTCGAATATCGGTTTTGCCGAGGATCTTCCGGTATGGAATTTTTCTCGTTTTCCCCCGAGTGTTTCCTCAGATATTATTGCTTGTCATTCAGGCCTATTCTGCGAATCGTGTGACTTTGTTACTTGTGAGATGAAAAAAGTCACGTCGTGTGACTTTCCCAGGCCTATTCTACGAGTCGTGTGACTCTCTGTTACCAGTGAGGTGACTCTCTATTTGATTTGCACGGAAATTCACCTCACTAGCTCGACTTGTTCATCGCAAGAGGCCCCGGTGCGATGGGTGGCCTTCCGATCGGTCAACTGTAAAGCCTTGCTGAATTTAGAAAATTTGGCTAGCTACAGAGTGAGTTTTGGTGCGCTCAGCGGTTCCCGCTTGACGACCGTAAGCAATTTGCCACTGCCTCGCAAGATCGTATGGACGTGCAGATGAGCCTGCTACACTGTGCAACACAGATTTCCTGATTCCGATTCGGCTCATCCAGAGATTACGAGTAATCGGTTCTTATTACGAATGTCACTTCACGGTAAAAACGGTGAAGTGATTGCCGTGTAAATCAAGTGGGAATCACTTCACCGTGAAGTGACATCGGTAATAAGGGCCATCTTCTTGCACGGATGGTTCTGATTTCGCACTAGGAACTCGACGCGTCGATTACATGACCGTCGTTCATCTTTCCGTCAATTCGAGTTCGTTGTTTGCTTTAGTTGTAGAGAATTTCAAAGGATGACGGTGGCATTTCTTCCGCCATCGATCAGGTTACGACTTCGTTTCTGCACACCTGAAAGGAATCAATAATTCAAATCGAGTCAGAATCTTGTGGATCGGTCGAGTTTGCTTGAACACCGTATGGGTTTAATAGCTTCCGGTTTCTCCTTCACCTCCCGCTCCGAAAATGAAAAGTTAAACACAATCACAAATGTCATTTTAGCTTCAGGGTTGCCAAACTCGTGGGATATTGACACCTTGATTGGCAAACTTCGGCCTACTTCGGCACGTTCGGCATAGCGCATGGGGCAGCTAAAACTCTCGGCACAGATTAAGGTGTGCCGAGTTGAATATCCCTTGATTCTTTGTCTAATTTTCTCATTAAAACATGTTTATTGTAGCTGTAATTGCTCTGAAGATATTGATAAAAGAAAGTAGTGCCATAGAGGTAACTCTAAGACTAGAAGGTCCCGAAGAAACGTGCTCAACTTTTTGGCTCAGCTCTGGTACTCTCTTCGGTCCCAAGCTAATCGATTCACCCCTCGAAACATCCCTCATTTTATCTGTCAAACTTTCATAGCGAATCAAAACAAACATTGTGTAGTACTAGAATGTCGACTAGAATGGGGTACTTTAATCGTTTGCTTGGGACCAATAGGCTAGTCAAGTAGTGAGCCAATTTAAAATCGTTAGTTTCGTATTGATTGTTGGTAGTGCTTTCCTTAAAATCAAGAAAAATATAAACTGCTCCCCTGAACCGAAGGGTGCTTCGATCGGCATAAAAATTTGGATCCATATCCATCCCATCTCCTCCAAATTTGGTCGAAATCGGAAGAGGTCAATTACACTTCTGTATTTTTTCTCGATCACTTGAAGCGTGATGACCACCCCTCGATTAAAATCGAGCGAAATGCATTTCCCATATTCGCATGGATAAACTTAATTTCAAAACTTATACATCTGCCCAAAAACATGCATCTATAAAAGTGTCAAATCAGACAACTACAATCAACAATTCACGGCGGCGCGCCGTCTAAACGCGCAGTGATTGTTAGTTTTAGAATTGACCCACCAACCGGCTGCGTTGAACCGTTGAATTTTCCATCCATTCAGACGACGCTCCCAATTTGTTCCGGACCATATCACAATCCCATCAACCGCCAGCGAACCATGAACCATGCCCTCAAATAGCACCGTGACCAAATGAATCGAACTAAAACCAGTCTCTTGTTGTTGTTGTTCCAGGTGGAAATGCGTGGCCTGACGGACGTCATCAAGTTCGACCACCAGGGCTTCCGGAGCGATTTCGTGCTGGACATTGTGGAGCTGGGACCGCAGGGTTTGCGCAAAAGTGGCACTTGGAATTCCACTTCCGGCGTTAATTTTACCCGCACCTATGGGGACCAGCAGAAGGAAATAGTGGAAATCCTGCAAAACAAAACGTTGATTGTGACGACGATCCTGAGCTCGCCGTACTGCATGCGGAAGGATTCCGCGGAAAAGTTGACCGGGAATTCGCAGTTCGAGGGCTATGCGATCGATTTGATTCATGAGATTTCGAAGATTCTTTTGTTCAACTACACGATCCGCCTGGCACCGGACGGGCGGTATGGCAGCAACAATAAGGAAACGAAGTGAGTGAATTGATTTGATATTTATAGGAAGTTTGTTCGGCAGCCTATTCGACCGAAATCCCAACATCCCTTTTTTGCCTCATGAATTTAATCACCTAGCACTAACTTCATCCTCTCTTCCATGTTTTTCCCAACAAAAAAAAATAGCGAATGGGACGGCATGATAAAGGAGCTGCTGGAGCAACGGGCGGACCTGGCCATAGCCGATCTCACCATCACCTTCGACCGGGAGCAGGTGGTGGACTTTACGATGCCATTCATGAATCTGGGCATTTCCGTCCTGTACCGGAAACCGGTCAAGCAACCGCCGAATCTGTTCTCCTTCCTCTCGCCCCTCTCGCTCGACGTGTGGATCTACATGGCAACGGCTTATCTCGGCGTTTCCGTCCTGCTGTTCATCCTGGCACGGTGAGTTCATAAACCTAGCTTCTGTTTTCCACCTCCCCCTTTTGTTCTAAATAGCCTAGAAGAGCACCCGGTCAGCGCTGACAGAATCCGGATAGAGAGGGAACGTTGCGAATTAATGGCTTGTGGATAACACCGACCGTAATTTACACCGACAACGCGACTGTGACTGCTGGACTGATTTAAACGAACGAATAATAAAAAATAAAAATAAAAACATCGAAAAATGACTGAAAGGTTTGAAGGTCGTTAGAAGATGCTGGAATGAACGTGAAATGGCTGATTATTACCGACCTCCGAGCTCTTCTTCCGATTCCGGGTAATGGATTTAAATTTCCGGCCGGCGGAAGAGAGTCTGAGGAGAACATTTGCATGAATAATTGCCGCCCCGGGACACTCACGTACTTGGCCTTCTGTCCCCGAGAAGATAATTTATTTCAATGATCAAATTCGGTCGGAACTTTGCATAAACCGGGTAGTGCCAGCACGTGCCATGGCAATGTGTTTTGGGCTCGCGTTGAGCGTGGCGTGCCAGAGTGGGTGGTCCATATTCGAAACGTTCTACAGGCTGCCGAACGAATGAACGATTATTGGCAGCCGGAGATTGGGATCTTGGCACAAAGATTGGGTTCTCTTCATGTTTTTTTTTTTGGCTTCTAGATTTATTTATTATAATCAGCTTTCTCTATCGACGGCGCTGACAGCCGGTTGTGGCTTTTATCGGAAAAGAGTGTCTAGCATCTGGACAGATTGTGACGATCTGAGGCTTCCTTCTTACGCATATAAAATGTGTTGTATCAAGTCAGATGTCATCGGAGCATGTCCGGGTGTGACAATGTGGTCCCTATTACACTTTGTATGTTTAAGTATCTAATTGCACAAATTGGTGCAATGGAAGAAAATTTAGTATCGCATCTAAGGCTTTCGTAGGAGTGCTACGCATTGCACCTGTTGTGGAAGCCGTTGCGAGTCTTTGCAGCTTGTATATTAGATTATTTTCCTTAGTTTTTGGCCGTGGCATAAGTACTTCTGCGACGTATTATAGCCGTATATATCCAATGGATCATTGCCGGCCTTAGTTCGTTTACTTATCCATAGTGCGTTTGATGCTTTGCCTATGATTTTATTCAAGTATTGGTTCCAGTTGAGTTTACAATCGATTATTACTCCTAAGCAGGGCCCCACAAAGTCACTTTCAATCGAAAATCGTCAAGCGACGATGAAGCTGTCAACCATCACTTTCAATTGAAAGTCATTCTGTCTTCTCTTCGAGCAGTTCCCTGTCAACATCAACAGAATCACTTTTGATCAGTTTTCATGCTTGACTCGTGTTCATTTCTTCTTTCAGTGTCATATGAACTTACTTTTGCATTGAAGCGAAGCTGTTCGATCTCAATTCGCGCAGTTTTTATGACTTTTGTTGATTGTTCACTCGGTTCATTTAAGCGTATGCGCATAGATCTGTGCTCGTGGATGACAAATTTATCATTGTCGGGTGGTTTGTTTACCCATCAATATGGGTATTTTTTGAATCAGGGTGACGTCTAGAGATCGAAAATTGATATGCGACACCATTTTCAAATCCAAGATGTCGGCTTCCAGTTTAAGAAAAAGTTGGAAATGCTGTCAAATACTTATCAATAAAGGTATTTTTGTAATCGGTATGAAGTCTACATATCGAAAATTGATATGTGACGCCATTTTGAAATCCATGATGGCGGCTTCCGATTTCAGATTAAGTGGGAAGTAATGTCAAATACCCCAATACCCCATTGGAATCGGGATGGCGTCTGAGGCCAGAAATTGATATCCGACGCCATTTTGAAATCCAATATGGCGGCTTCCTATTTCAGAAAATGGGAAATGATGATGCCGTCCCATCAATATGGGTATTTTTGGAATCGGGGTGACGTCTGGAGATTAGAAATCAATATCCGATGCTATTTTGAAATCCGGTTTGAGAAAAAGTTGTAAATTCTATCAAATCTCGCCTAACTTTTCAAAAAGTCCTAAGTAACAAATGTAAACAAATCGAGTTTATCACCTCTATTCCCGTTTTCGTACGAACTGGATTCGTTCGAAACGAAAGCAATTTCCCATTCCCGTTTTCGTTCGAAGCAATTCTAACTTTCGAACATCGTTCGTTCGAACGATGTTGTGCTATTCCCATTTTCGTACGAATGCGTTTTTTTGTCCGCTTTCCAAACGGCACTCCAAACTCGCGAATCGCGAGACAGCCAGGGGATTAAAACTTTGAATTTTTTTGTAATCTCTAATAAAAATGTTATGGTTAATGGGGTTGATTGATTGATTTATCTTTATTAAGGAAGCGTTCAGCCTGAGGCTGGACGTCTTATCAGAATGAATTCGGAGTTGTGACTGGAATAAGGACTCTGGGACCACGGGATTGTTCACCAGAAGATCCGGAATATCCATAAAAGTGGTCAATTAATGAAACTGATCCCAAATCTCCACGGTTTTTTTTAAACCACTCATAGACGTCTTATCAGAATTAATTCGGAGTTGTGACTGAAATATGGACCCTGGGGACCACGAGATGGTTCATCGGAAGATCCGGAACATCCGTAAAAGTGGTCAATTCATGAAAATGATCCTAGAGCTCCACGGCTTTTTCGAAACCACTCATAAATGTCTTATCAGAATGAATTCGGAGTTGTGACTGGAATATGGACCCTGGGGACCACGAGATGGTTCACCGAAAGATCCGGAACATCCGTAAAAGTGGTCAATTCATGAAATTGATCCTAGAGCTCCGCGGATTTTTTGAAACCACTCATAGACGTCTTATCACAATAAATTCGGAGTTGTGTTCGGAAAATGTACTCTGGGGACCATGGAATGGTTCACCGAAAGATCCGGAACATCCTGAAAAGTGGTTAATTCATGAAATTGATCCTAGAGCTCCGTGTTTTTGTTTAAACCTTTCATAAACGTCTTATTACAATTAATTCAGAGTTTTGACTAGAATTTGGACTCTGGGGACTACAGGATGTTCCACCGAAAGATCTGGAACATCCGCAAAAGTTGTCAATTCATGAGACTGATCCATGAGTTGGCGAAACCACTCATAAACGTTTTATCAGAATGAATTTGGAGTTGTGACCGGAATATGAACGCTTAGACGGAAAATGGGCCTTTGGGACCACGAGATGGTACACCAGGAAGATCCTGAATATCCATAAAAGCCGTTTTTATGAAGACAAAAATATTAGCACCGAAACCATCACTTTTAGGTATATGGTGTCTTGGGGAAAGCTTATTCGTATTTTTTAGCCGATTTGAAATTAGGGTGGTTTCCTTTCAACCTTTTTTATTACTTGAGATAGACTAATGCAGTTTTTTTTTAAGTTGTAGAACAATCAATTTGAACCAACTTTGTTCATGGCATCAAATTTTTATCTCTTATGGTTCATGACTTATGGTTATTTTAAACAAGTAGGTTGGAGTGGCCCCTAGAAAATCTTTCTTTAAATATTTTTATCGGTGATCAACGTATAAACAATATTTAAAGAAACCCGATTTTCTAGGGGCCACCCTAACCTCTCGTAAAAACATTATTCTAAATACTTTTAGAACTATTTATGACGCATATTTTTGCAGAAGTCTCTAATTTGAATCTCCTTTATTTAAAAGTAATGGCTAGTTTTTGATAAAAAAAAAGATTTTTTTTTAAATTAAATTAAATACTTTAAACAAAAAACGCTCTCACAGTTTTTCCACAAATACTGAAAAAACACGATCTTTTAAAAAAAATCGAAAGTTTGAAAATCGGTTTGCTCCATTTAGAGACATTGTCATTTTAATAGAACCATTTTTTTTCGAAGAAAATCTCCATTCATTTTATAAAAAAAAAAAATGGCAGCCTGGTTGCTTCAGCAAAAATATGCGTCAGCATAAGTTCTAAATGTAACCATAACAAGGTTTTTACGAGAAATGAACTAATGAAAAGATGTTCGAAGAAATCGGTTTTTTATGGGCCATTCTAACCTGCTTGTTTAAAAAATCATAACTCATGAACCTTAAGAGATAAAAATTTGGTGTCTTGAGCAAAATTGCTTCGAATTTGCATTGGTCTATCTCAAATAATAAAAAAAAAGTATGTATTTTCAAATCTCCAATTTTGTGGACCACCCTAGTTTCACTAACATAAAAAGATCGGCCAAACAATATGAAGAAACTTTCCCGAAGACACTGTATACCTAAAGCTGATGGTTTGGGCGCAAACATTTTTGTCTTCCTAAATACGGCTTTGGAACCATTGTGCAGTGGATGGTCCTCCGAAAGATCCGGAACATCCGTAAAAAGGCTTAATCGATGGAACTGATCCAAGAACTCCGTTTTTTTTCGTAAACTCTCATAGACGTCTTATAATTATGAATTCTGAGTTATGATTGGAAAACAGACCCTGGAGACCATGAACGCTCCTCTGGAAAATAATAGACAACTCATCAGAATGAACTCGGAGTTGTGAATGGAAAATGGACGCCAGGGTCCATTGGATGGTCCTTCGGAATATCCGGAACATCCATTAAAGTGGATAGGTCAAGAAAACTGATCCATGCACTCTATGGTTTTTTGGGATGGATCAATTTCATGAATTGAGCACTTTTAGGGATGGTCCGAATCTTCCGGTGGACCATTCTGTAGTCTCCATATTCTTATTTCGGAACACAACTCCGAATACATTCCGACAAGACGTTTATGAGTGGTTCCGAAAAATCCGTAGAGCTCTAGGATCAGTTTAATGAATTGACCACTTTTACGGATGTTCCGGATCTTCCGGTGGACCATCATGTAGTCCCCAGAGTCCAAATTAAGGTCACAACTCCGAATACATTCTGATAAGACGTCTATAAGAAGTTTGAAAAATCCACGGAGCTCTAGGATCAGTTTCATGAATTGACCACTTTTCTGATGTTCCGGATCTTCCGGTGAACCATCTCGTGGTCCGCAGGGTCCATATTCCAGTCACAATTCCGAAT